ATTCCAATATAAGAAAATAATCCATATTGAGTTTTTTTTATTTGTAGATCTTTTTTTAATTTTTAAATCATCCAATTCCATTTGTTAATTTAATATTCCCATTTCTTTCTTGTAATGTTTACATTTTGAATTCACCCTAAAATCCATTTCAGTTTTATTAAATGGGATTTGTTCCTCTTCAATAATACCTTTTGATTTCTTTTTAGAGTTAAATAACTCAAAACCTCTTAGACCCAAACATCAAACATTTTCTTTAAGGTAGCCATCTGGTGCCCTCCACTGTCCACCTTTCAAAGTTATCTTGTCAGTTCAAAATATAAACAAAAGAGCTCTTCCCACAAGAGATAATTCTTTTAATTAACTTCAAAGTCCTTCTTTAATTCAAATTCATCTGAACCTTTAATCAATTTTAAAACTTTTTGAAATCAGCACTGTAATCACCTTTACCTGACTAGGTGATGCAGTGGCTAAGACACTGAGCTTGTCGATCAGAAAAATTGACAGTTCGGTGGATCGAATCCCTAGTACAGGTCTCTTGCGTGAGCAGGGGGTGGGACTAGATGACTTCCAAGGTCCCTTCCAACTCTGTTACTGTTTACTATTTACCTTTTGCTGTGGTAAATTGCAAAGAAAACAATTCTTATAAAACTTGAAGGACATAATTTTCTTCTAAATGGATTGAAGAGAAACTACCCAGCGAATTCTAGAGTTGCAGTGCTGAAAAAAACCTTCAAAGTTATTAAAAAGATAAGGTGTGAGAGAACTTTGAGTCCATGAAAGGCTATATTAATAGCTTTCAGCATGATGAATTCCTATGATGCCTAACTGATAGCAAGAGACTACAAAAACATCAGTTTCTGCTGTCTACTCACAAAACAAAACAAAATAGATGCACAGGGTATGTAAGTGTAAGCTTAGGACGTCTTCTTGACCCAGAATTTTTGACCTAGCCTGGATGTTATATTCAGCTGCTTTTTTGGCCACAATTTCTCCCATGATCCAATGAACGACAATTTGTCATTCCTCACCAGAAGTGATTCCTGAGAGGAAGAGTAATTGATAATCCATCTTGTAAAAAGTATGGGTACTTCTGGAAGCCAATAATATGGGACAATTATACATTTTATATTCTTCTTCTTCTTGTGCCGTATCCGTTATCGGACACTGGCAATCATGTTGGCGATCCTATAAAATTAACATTTTACATTAAACATTAAACATTATTTTAAAAGTTATCTTAATGTGGTTTCTCTTTTTAAAGGAAAATAAGGAATATGAGAATACGGGAAGGAGAATAGGAGCAAAGGGCACAGCTGACAGTTTTCCACTGATAATCTTACAGCTGATAGTCTATGGTAGGATTCTTGGAGCAACAGATGGTAAACCCCAATTATATCAAGAACATCTTGAATATGTGGGTTGCCAAAAATAGAAAGAAAATTCTGTATCTTATTTGCAACAGTGGATTGTCAATATGCGTGTGGGTATTTGTCAGTATTTGAAGGAGAGTTGGCAAAAGGGGAAAGGTAAAATATTTCAAGCAACATAATCCAACTTTTTAGTTACTCTGCTATAATTCCTGGATTCATGTGCTATCTTTCCTTCTTATCGGTTTTGAAGTTACACTAATTTTGAGTAGTTCAGAGAACCGGTAAATACCAATTCTGACTGGCCCCACCCCCATCTATTCTCTGCCTCCTGAGTCTCAGCTGATTGGGAGGAAATGGGGATTTTGCAGTATCCTTCCCCTGCCATGCCCACCATGCCATGCCCACCAAGCCATGCCCATAGAACTGGTAATAAAATGATTTGACTCCCACCACTGGTTACTGGTGCCTAATTGGTAAACTAAAAGTTTCTAAATCAAGACTCCACATAGCCTCTTTTTGCATAGGTCTGCTTTGACTTTCTTTTTTAAAAAAAGAGTTCAGATAATCTTTGAGTTATTATTGCAACTGGGACCAGGATTGCCATCACTAAAAAAAAGTGGCCACAGAGTGCAGTGTCACATGACCACAACTCTTAGGGATAGCAATCCAGGCAATCCCAGTTATTATCATCAACCCAAGACACATGGGTCATTAAGCAGGAGACAGAGGAAGTCCCAGGTAAAGAATGTATGGGTGCCACAGGGGATGGGGGAAGCCCTGGGACCACAGGCCACACATGAGTGGGGGTTGTGTGTTTGTGCTGCAGTGCAGCACAAGCTCAGAAAGGTAGGGGAAGGAGATCATAAGGTGGGTCAGTATAGGTGGGTCGTAATAGTCTTTGGTTCAAACTCAGATGCACATACTATAATATATAGAACTGGAAGTAAGTAGGAGAGACGTGAGAGAATAACTCTGGTGCAGGAAACTATAAACACACATAGCAGTAAATCTCAAATTACTTGATTGAATTCCCTTTAGATGAAATATTCTTTTAATCTTATTATCATAGACTAGTATTCCATAAATAAGTTTGAACTTATTTATGGAACAAGACATTAGAGGAATGAAGCATAATTTCCCTCAGCATTATGCAAAATACAGATACTAACAGTATTAAGAATAATAGGAGAAAGTTATTACATTTCTTGTGTTCAAATTAATGTATAGCTTAAAATATATTTATATTTCCAGAATGCAGAAATCTCAGTTTTTGAAGTAAACATCCGTTTTGTTGGGGGATTACTTTCAGCATACTATCTTTCTGGAGAAGAGGTAATATTGGATGTGGCATTTGTTTGTTTGTGCGGTGCCTTTGCATCAGTGTTGACTCCTGGCATTTGCCTGGATTAGTCCCTTTAGGTTTTTTGCCCCTAGATTTGTTCTTGCCTTGTTCCTATGGCTGAAAAAGAGTGAGTGTTCCAAGGTTGCCCAGCTGACTTTGTGCCTAAGGCAGGACTGGAACTCACAATCTCCCAATTTCTTGCCTCAACTCTTGTTTCTTCTGTTTTGTTACAATAATCCTGTTTTTTCTCTGTGTTTTGAGTTGGCCTTCTGTTAGCTGGCAGGCAGGCAGCTGACAGGTTTAATTCATAACAATTTGAAGCGTCATCTCATGTTCATCCTTATTCCTATCATTTTTTAAAAACTGTAATTAATACTCTTTGTATTAACAGAATTTGATTTAGTCAAATTGCCAAATATTTCTAAAGAGTTTTGGGAAAATATTCTGAATTTTATCTGAAATTTCAGGTTAAAATATAGAAACCTTCTTTTCATTTTCTCCTGTATTGCCTAACCCTTGCTTATTTCCATTTTTAGATATTCCGAAAAAAAGCAGTAGAACTAGGGGAGAAGTTGCTTCCAGCTTTTAATACCCCCACAGGAATTCCTTGGGCATTATTAAATATCAAAAGGTAAAAGCAGACCAACTTTCCTGTATTCCTTGCCAGTTAAATTCTTTGATCCCTTGAATTGCTACCAGGTAGTCATTTCTCCTGTGTTTTTGTTGCAGATTGCAAACATAGCTAATTTTCAGTACAAGACATAGGAGCAGCAGGGAGCAAGGCAGAGGTTTTCCATTGCTAGCAAAATCAGGTTTAACCTGGGGACTTGATCATTTTTCAGTCAAACTATTAAGCTTAGTGTTTCTTGCTTTGAAATCAGGAATCAATGAGATAAATAGTTAGAAAATCTTGCATATGTCTGAATCCGTGATTGTAATGGTGAATTGAAAGCAACGGTAGGTATCCCAGTCGTCCATGATACTAAGTGGTCAATTTCTGACCCAGGTCTTGTTGCCACACTGAAGTTAAGATGTAGGACTGGAAGCATTAATAGCTTTTGGTTCTGAAAACAAACCATGAACATGTGCTGTAAAGGTCACAATTAAGTATATGAACTGGGACCTTTTCTTTTCCAAATCACTGTTCCCGAAACATAACTCATAATTGCAGAATCATCTCAAATAAAAGCTGCTTCTAAACCTTCTTACTTAAAATTTTGAGTCAACCATTTTTTTCATACCGATCAGCTATATTTTCTCAGAATCAATGTAGTTCAATTAACAAAATACTAAAATCAGCACTTTGCTCTATAACTCAGGTATATTAACTACCACAGAAAAAACAAGTCACATCAAGAAAGTTTTAAAAAGTCAACATATACAATTTTTTCACATCAAATAATATGAATTAAAATGAGAAAGATGTTGCTTTCTTAATTAAGGTGGAGAGTTTTTGTAACCTACATACAGTTATTAGTAAACGAGGCCTGGAATATGAGGTGCATGGTGTGTGATAGTATTTCCTGCACAACTCCCTATAGTTTTGGTAGAGTTCCTATGCAACTTTGGGAGATCATTCAGAGGTTTTGAATTGATGGATTGATAAGACTACCCCTTTCAAAATAGCTGTCTAATTATACAGCTCCTTACTAAGAGAAGAGGATTCACTCCTTCCTTACTCTTCGTTGGATTGACTATTTCTATACAATTTCTTGGCATACTCTGATTTTAACTATCTTCTCAAATTTTACTATATGAGTTTGCACCTATATTTCTTAATTCTGAAATGTTTAATTGATGTGTCAGTTTTGGTTGGTAGCATTCATACATTTAATTAATAGCCTGTGCACCTTTCTTCCATTAATTGGATGTTAAATTTCTTAAATATAGAGTTATTTTTCAAAATAACATTCATGGAAATCTCATCAGAAGTATGTGGCCTTGAAGCAAAAAACCCAAACATTTCTGGCTCCCTAATTTCCTAAATATGCAGATGATCTAACAATAGTGGGCCTTCTTCAGGATGATGGGGGTGATTACCGGAAGGAGGTTGAGGGTTTGATGAACTGGTGTAATAAAAACAGCCTGGTTTTAAATGTAGGAAAAACAAGAGAGATCATTGTCTATTTCAGAAAAAGCAGCCTCAGCTATACACCTCTGTCTATTAATGATTCAGCTGTGGAGGTGGTTAGCAGTGCAAAGTTTCTGGGTGTACAGCTGACAAGCAGATTAGGTTAGTTGCTCAACAGTAAGATACTAACAGTGGGCAAAACAGCACTTGTATTTTCTGCATGGTATGAGAAGAGCACATCTTCATCCCCTGCCCGTACAACTTTCTTTAGAGGGATGACTGAAAGCATCCTGCCATATTGTGTGGTTTGGAAGTATTAGTGTTTCAGACAGGAAGACTGTGCAAGGAGTGATGAAGATGGCAGGATGGTTATTGTTATCAAAATTCTTCATTTTATTCTATTTTTATATAGGGATTTCATTTATGAGCGTATTCATCACAAAAATGATGTAACAGTAAGGCTGCCTTGAGAGTATTGATGAAACTAGATTCTTAAGTAATGATCATTTCTAATGATCAGTATCCCTAACAACACTGATAGGGAGGAAAAAGTAAAATGTGTATGCTTAAAAGATATTGCTGAAATGTTCAAAAGAGACATTCCTAGCATATCTTGTGCTTTTGAGCTCCTGACAGATATCTTGTTTCAGCAAATAGTGACACATAAATGTTGGACTCTGGTTTCCTTCAATCTCATTTGATTTGAGGATGAAGAGAGCTGGGAGTTCTAAGTCAGGAGAAATTAGACTATGTTCATTTTCACATTACTTTAAATCAAATTGTTCTATTTCTCCAGCTCAGTTAATTTTACCCTACCTTTCTTTTTTAGTGGCATTGGTCACAACTGGCCCTGGGCTTCAGGTGGAAGCAGTATTTTGGCAGAATTTGGAACACTCCATTTGGAGTTCATACATTTAAGCTACTTATCTGGAAATCCGCTGTTTGCTGAAAAGGTTAGATTTCTACTTTAAATGGCCTATCAATTGCTGATAAATTATACATTTTAAATTTAATTATAAATCCTCTGGACATATTAGATTCAAAGTGCAAAAACCTTTCTTGTCACTTTCAATGAGGTTCAAGAACTTTCTTGAAATTACCTATAGTGACCTTGTACTGCTAACAAATGAAACTTTGAGAAAGTGTTCATGTAACACTAAAACAAGATTTAGCATTAAAATAAAATCTCAGATTCTCATATTTCTCTCTTCTACCCATACAACTAAAAGAATAACTCTTTGCCTTTCTTGGAGATCCTCTTATTCAGCAAGAGACTAGTTTAATTCAAATATTGATTAGCTAAATAAAAAGTTTAGTACAATAATTTCATTGATTCATCACACATCAATTGATATTTTATTTACTTGCCTTTATGTTTCAAGCATAGAAATATGTTTTTCTATTATATGTTTTATTTTTAGCTGTCCTTCATCTTATTTCATAGTGGAAGTAAATAAATAGTACTAAAATAAAATAAATCAGAAAAAGAATTTGAGGGGGGCGGTGTGTTCAGTTGGTTGGTTTGAATGTTTGTTGAGAATGAAACTAAATCAAGAGCTGTCCTATTAGCTACATGAAAAGAAAGCACAGGAATAGTAAAGTTTGGTATGATAGCGTAGGGTAGGGTATAGTACAGTATAATATATTGATTAGTCAATTGCCCATAGCCATCAACCACAATAAGACACAGTTAAATGAGATAAGATAAAATACAATGAAATGTGGTAAAATAGCCTATAATAGGATAAAATATATTAAAATATAGTTGATAAAGTTAAAATAAAAAATAAGGTAAAATAATATTGAAATAGTATAAAGTAAAATAGAATTCAGAGATATAAAATGACTCCTAAAGTTCAAAAACAGTGTGTGGTTAAATGAATTCATTACATTTGTACGCAACTCCAATGTGTCCTATAAACCATGTTCTTTGATGGAAAGTTCTGATTATAAATGTAATAGTTTGTACACGTAATAGTGACTACATATATGTTTATGCCCTGAAGGAAATAAGATAATATTTAACAAAAGTCACAGTGTATGGTTCAGTCAAATAATGTATGCAAGTGTAGGACTGTTGCTGCAATTGAATAGAACATGTGCAATAGCTTCTATTTCTGACACTCCACAAACACATGTTCTCAAGACATGGCACTTGAGAGAATCATCCGTATTTGACCCTAGTATATAGATGCTCAAATCTTGCTCTACAAAAGACTATCCTATGGCATTAGAAAGCACTGGAAAAAGATAAAAGGCAGCCAAGGTTTCTCTTAGGCTCATTCCACATTTATACATTAGAACTTTATATTCATAAGTAGCATCTTGTTTTTGCTTTCAGAATCCTTGTTATAAACAATAGTCTCATCTATTCCAATCACTGAGCCAGAAGGATACTTTCCAACATTTGTGTTTATCAAATCAAACTGTATTATCACTTTAAATATACTCTGTATATGATCATAGATGTGGCTGATGAGCCATCAGCCTCAATAAAAGACAGTAAAATTAGATTACTTCCCCAAATGGAACTAAGCTATGTGTTCAGTATTTTACGTTTCCATCCATGGGGGATAGGTTTCCTTTAAAAAATATTGTTGATAAAGATTCATTGCACATGTGCTTTAGACAGATCCATTTCTGTAGAACATGTATCATGAAGGAAGCTGTTATTTGAGTTGTTAATTAGTACCTTAAATGAATATTTACTTTAAAGTTAGAATAATATTATGACCAATATTTAAAAAATGCATTTTATGTAAATGTATTATATAGATATATTTATGTAAAAAACATATTTTTGTTTTGAAATAGGTTATGAACATTCGAAAAGTATTAAACAGATTAGATAAACCAGAAGGACTCTATCCTAATTATTTAAACCCCAACAGTGGTCAATGGGGACAGCGTAAGTACTTCTGTTTAATATAGTATGCACAAAAGAAAAATATCTTTTCTAAGTTAGTTGAATTATGCAGTCAGTTTGGGTATTTCTCCTTGAATGATTGCCACCGAGCTTAGTATTTTGTTTTCTGAACATGTGGAGGTATTTATTGTATGTACATTATATTGGGTATTGTAGCATCTTAAAGTTATGCATTTTCTGTGCTAATTGTGGTAAAAAACTTGCCCAATAAAGCCAACTGAAGAGGATTCCAAATTATTGTTTGTTTCATTAAGCTAGCAGATTGCAATGAATCATTGATCTGTTATACCCTGAAGATCTAAGAGCAAAGGCTACAGAATTACATCAGTTTTGTATAAAATGTTGATCAACAACAGCTTGTGCATGCATATGCATTAATAAGAAACCCCAGTTGAGAAAGAATTATTGTGTAACTCATAAGGATACAAGGTAACAGAAAAGAAGACATGGGTACTTTATTCTTCATGGTATGGAAACTACATATAACTTCTTTGAAAGGAAATAATTGATTTGTTACAAGAGTTGTACCAATTCTCTTGTTATTCTAGCAAGTTGTACGGTACTTTACTGCAGGAAGAGAGTTAAGGAGATACTGCAGTATGCTTTCTTGGCGGTGTGAACTTTATAGCCAGTTAGTCAGTAACAGGCATAGATTGGCACAGTAGTAAAAATTACCATTCTTAAAAAATGATACATAAGAGATACCATAAAGGAGATGTACTATGGTATAAGTGTGATAATACTGTGTTAGTGTATACCAGTGATGGCGAACCTATGGCACGCATGACAGAGGTGGCACGCACAGCCCTCTCTGCTGGCAATCACCCCATCGCCCTAGGTCAGATCTCTGTGGCGTTTCTTTTGTGAGCTTATGTTTCCCTGCAAACGTCGAAGCAGAAGCTCACGAAAGAAAAAGATCTTACCTCTTGCTGCGCTGTCTGTGTTGGGATGCCCCGCCTCCCACTGGCCAGCTGGTTTTTGGGTCTCTGCTGCGCATGCGTGCATGTCTGCACACGTGCACGTGCATGTCTGTGCATGTGTGCATGCATGCGCATGTGTGCATGCATATGTGCATGCATGTGCATGTGTGCATGTCCATGCATGTGCACATTTGTGCATGTCCACGTGTGCCTTTCAGTTTGGGCATGAGTGCGCACGCAGTTTGGGCACTCGGTGTCTAAAAGTTTTGCCATCCCTGGTATATACTATATTAGTATGAGTAAATATGCTTTTTTATTTATTCACATTTTTAAACTCAAGTTCTTATTGAAACTCTCTGCATTAATAAATAAAACCTTTCTAAAACAAAGTTTTCCTTTTTGTTTATTTTTATTTATTCAAGTCATATGGTTGCCTATAACAACTAATGGCTCTGGATAATGAATAGAATTAAAATACAATAAAAACAATTATAAACTTTACAAAAGTTAAAATGCACAGCAACCAAGTAACATCAACCACAAACACTTGCATAACCTAGCAGAGAATCAGGTTTTCAGGACCATAAGAAAGGCCAGTGAGGTCAGGACCATCCTGATCTCTGGACAGAGAATGTTCCACAAGCAGAAAAGACACATATTCTTTAGCTAGCAGAATCTGAAGTACACCCATCCTGCCTGACTGGATGAGCCCTTGGGTAGCCCCGTTCTAGGTCAGGAAGGAGTTTGAAGGTGTCAACCAGCACCTTGAATTGTACCCAGAATTGTACCATGGAATAATGGTGTTATACCCACAAAATAACTGGCATCATTTACTAGCCATGTTGCTGCATTTTGCACCAGCTTTGATAGAACATTTTGAGAATTATTAAAATCTCCAAACATCATCACAGCAACTTATAAATATTGAACTAGGAGAGAGAAACATATTTAATGAGGCCTTTAGGAGCATGTTATTGTGAAACCAGCAAGCTATATCTTTGAGAGTCTCTTCTGGTTTTATTGTTATTTTTTCTGTCTTTTGAGCTTGGCTTTCTTTTTCACTTTAGAAGTAAATTGAAAGTGATTTGCAGCACCACAGGTCAATTAGATTTGTTTCAAGCAACAATGGCTATAATAACAGGACTTATTATTGATGAGTCTCTGTGTATGCTATTTAATTTGCAAATGTCAGGATTTTCAGAGGTAATTCATTTAGGAAACTGTAAAGGTCTTTTATATGGTGCTATTCAGAGATCACCCTTCCCCCCGCCCCAGAAAAAATGCATTTTTTATTATTTGTTTATTGGAGCTCTCATTTTTCTATTAATGGAATTCATGAAATGTTCTTTATAATGGAAAAACCACTCTTCATACTTCTATCTTCTTATCACATAAAGTTTCTTTGGGAGGGAAAGCAAAAGTAGCGTTTTTAAAAACAAAATGCAAGTCACAGGCTGATAGACAAGAAAACTTTCTTTAAAGTGGAAACTTTTAATAAGGAAAACAAATTCTGTGCATGTCTGGTTTCTTAACCTTTTTCTATAAAACAACCTATTTGTCTTCATTTTTAATGGCCACAATTTGAGAACTTCTAATGTAAGTTGTTCTTTCTCCCCTCTCCTCAATAGCATGCATATAATTCTTTTTAATTCAAAGCTATATTCAGTTGGCATATATATATTCAGTTTTGAATCATACCATTTTTAGGGCTCACTAAAGTAGCATAAAAGTAAGTGTTTGAGTTTTCCAGAATTCTTAACAAGTCAACTTGTTAATTAAAAAAGGGGGATGCAGAAAAGGAAGAAAACACCCCACTACACCAGAAGCTTAAATTATTCACAAATAGAAAAAGAATGGATCCAAGCAAAATAGGTTTGTTGGGGATTAAGAGTTGCTTGTTTCAACATGGGGGAAATTGGGCTACATATTTAAACCCTTGTTATGCCTACAGAGCATCATGTTTTAAAATAGCGTAGTCTAATGGGATAGATACAATATATCAAAGAAGATATAGCTTGAATAAAGCACCATGCTGAAAGTGGGTTAATGTGGCTTTTCTATAGTATTTTGCCATTATTTTTTTGCCTTTGGGATTGTGTGTACATAACATCACCAGATTGCTCTCCCCCTCACCCAGATCATGTCTCCGTTGGAGGACTTGGGGATAGTTTTTATGAATATTTGCTGAAAGCATGGTTGATGTCTGATAAAACAGATGAAGAAGCCAGGGAAATGTATTATAATGCTGTTCAGGTAAATATTATACAGAACTTGAGACATTATTATATGTAACTGTAAAAACAAATATTATGATAGGTTTTTTAAAAAATGTTTTGACTATATGCATACATATATACATATACATACACACATACCTTTTAAAAATATTTTAAGTAACTTAAACATTTAGTAATCTTTTCTGTAAATGACAATGTTATAGAGAAGCAACTTTTTAAATAGCAAGCAAATTAAAACAATTTTATTTTTATAGTGAAGATAGTTGTGGGTTGTTGGAAGATATTTAGGTTTAGTTCATATCTTTAAATAAATCAATTTAATCAGTTGGGCTATTGCTTATTAAAGAGTTGAATCAAATCACCTAAAGCCAGTCTCCAAAGGAATAGTGTGTTGACAAAGCAGTTCTGATCAATCTTCCTTTACTGTGGCTGCTACTCCATTCAATCTAGTGTGGTGTCTCAGGCTTTAGAAATGAGGAAGGGGAGGTGTAAGAAGAGGGTTTCTTGATCACCCATTATGCAGTGAAAATGAATTGGGATTTTTTTTTGTCCCAATGTGCCAATAGTTTACATTTACCACACATTTCCTTTTAATTGCCATTCTATTTGCATCATTCTGTACTCCAAATCATTTGTTTAACAAGTTCCTTGTTCAACTAATAAGATCAAACACTTCCTTGAAAACTTCAACTTCAACAAAGCCCACTGATTCTGTTTGCTTTTTTAAAGTAAATCTATAATTGAGAAATCCATGAGATCTGTTTTCCTATTTCACAACTAAATTTACTCAGAAACCTTTGCTTAAGGGCTTTGTCATACATTTTGGGCTGGTTTGGGTAGGTAAAGTTTTGAAAGTTCAAATTTCCTTGACTGGGTTCACATATCATAGTACGCCATGTTATTTTAGCCATATTCCTTGAATGAATTATAATTGAATAAATTCACACCACTATGCCAAGCAGGCCACATCATGGCTTACTATAATGTATGACTAAACTATTACCTACCAAACCTTCCCTGTCTAAATACTTGTTAATGCATACAAAGTTAAGTCAAAGGTTTTTGAGACACTGATTCCCTTTGTCCAAGTTGTATTAATTCTTCTACAACAACAATTGCATTCTGTATTTTTCCATACTTTGGCTGGAGTAGAGATAAACTGAGCAGCTTATAACAAAATGGTCAACCCCTCAACTCATTTTGAATACCATATTTCCCCAAAATTATGACATATCCTGATAATAAGGCCATGCCACATTTTTCTGGTGGGCAAAAATATAAGTCCTCCAGCTCTGCCAGCAGCTGGCCTACAACCATAGAGTGTACGCCCAGAGCGGCCACTCCCAGAAGACTCGGTTTGGAAGCTGCAAAAAAAGCCATGCAGCGGCGGAGGTGCCCTGGCTCTGCAGAGAGGCTGGCAGGCGCGTGAGTGAGAGCGGAACAGCCACTCGCGCAACCCCCCTCCAGCCGTGCAGAGCACCATTTACTGCCATTTCGAAGGGGCCAAGGTGCAGGAGCCAGGTGGTGGCGAACAGGCGCTCACGCGGCTTGGCGATACCCCTAGGTCAGTGAATGGCACTGTGCCCAGCTGGAAAGGGGGTTTGCCGGGTGGCTGTGCATGTGTGTGGTCACTTCATGGCTGCTGTGCTGCACTGCTGCGACAGTGCAACACAGCCATTTGCCCATGAGGCTGTGCCTGGCTCTTTGGGGAAACACGGTATTGTTATATTCAATGCTTTTAAGTATGTGAAAAATATTTAGATACCTATATTATTGAAATTATTTATGGTAGATTAATAACAGTTTTTTTTTAACAATTCTAGTCCATAGAAACCCATCTAATCAGGAAATCCAGCAATGGTTTAATGTACATTGCTGAGTGGAAAGGTGGCCTCCTTGAACACAAAATGGGTCATCTCACTTGTTTTGCTGGAGGGATGTTTGTTCTGGGTGCAGATGGAGCACCAGATGATCAAACTGGACATCACATTGAACTTGGAGCTGAAATTGCCCGCACATGTCATGAATCTTATGATCGTACAGGTAATTATAAATTGTTGAGTGCTCTTGGTCTGACTTTAAAATGTTGCTTATTGCTTTGTACTTGAATGTAGGGCAATGCATTTGGGGCTTTTTCCAATCAAACTGATATCAATTGTATAAGACATTTTTATTACATGTAGTTTTTACCTCTACATATTATAGAGTTAGAAATGTCTGTAGACAGTTTTCCAACTGTAACATAGTTTATGTTTGTAGGGGAAGTAGTTGGATTGCTTATAACAGAAATGAAAATATATGGCCCTATAGATTTGCTGAGTTACAGCTCCAGTAATCTCAGCTAGCATGAGCAATGTTGAGAGAGCTTTAATTGGATAACATCTAGACATCCAAATGTTATCCTCTCTTGCCTTTAACAGTGTTTGCCTTTGGCATTAACAGTCTGATGTAAAAATTAATATTAAAAGATCTTCCAGGATTCTGCCTAGAAATACTTCGTTAATATATTCAGAAAGAGAGTAATACTATGCAGCAGGAAAATGGAATAATTTTCTTAAATAGCTAATCCTATACATTGAAATTTAAGGGGAGACACTCAACAGAATATAAGAATCTTGGTAGGTCAGAATAGCCAGAGTAAGAGGTGGAGGAATTTTTTTGCCCTTCCCATTCTGATTGTTTTTCTTTTTAAGTTCTTCTTCCATGGGAATTAATGGGCAAGAAAATATCAGATTAAGAATTTGGGGGCCTATCACCAGACATCTGCCAGTTTAGATATCAGTCCATAGAACTTAATGTAAGTAATAATAGCAAACTTAACAATAGCTTCAATATACTGATTGCATAAACTAATTTCAGAAGTAAGGAAAAAGCTATCAAGGTGAACCCAACTACTTTATTGTATGTATTGTCACAAAGCTGTTCTCCATCAATGGTGCAACATACCCATATCTTCCTAATCTTTTCCAACCAGAATTTTAAGTAATAATAGCAAACTTAATAATAGCTTCAATACACTGATTGCATAAACTAATTTCAGAAGTAAGGGAAAAGCTATCAAGTTCCTTCACTCATTCTGAAATGCTAAAACATGTGCAATATGAAACCTAAGTTTGCCACTGTTGAAATATAACAGATGTTAGGCAATTTCACAATCATCATTAAAATAAACACATCTCCAAGTCCATGTGCATGAACATGCAAACATTCATGACAATAGGCATGCATGATATATTTCAATTCCACATATTTAAGCATTTTGATTTGTTTAATTTGGGGGTCTGCAAATGCCATGTTGAGTTGTTATAAATTACATATTACCAGCTCCGGCCCTACAGCTGTCAAATACTTTCTTTTTTTAAAAAATAAATAAAGTAATGCAATGTATTCCCCAGAACTTTTGGTTATGTTTTTATATTTGAGTTTAATTTTCCTCATTTTTGTTTGAATAGTTGTGTAAAACTTAAAAGAAGTTGATTCAACAAAATATGTTTTGAATACAATAAGACAATATTTAGGAACACCTCATGGCTTTAGACACTCTTACACAATTTTGTGAAGTTTTTCCAGGTAAACATTTTGCTGGATAAAACCCTACCACTAGAAAAAGTATTCAAGATCGCTTTAGGCATTATTTTATATATATATATATTTGTATATTTCTCAGCTATCAAAGTGCCATTATGTGCACAAACATCACACAATTTCCTATCATATTGAGGCAAGAATCCATTAAAGCTACTGCATAATATAACACTTAACAGGGTTCTTCCTCTTCAAACTAAGTAGAACCATTCTACTCACTTTTCATCATTTTTCTGCCTGCTGTGGTCCTTCAGATTCCAACACTGTTGAGTGGCAAACAAATGTTTACCAACCTCCTTATACAGCAGGAGAATCCTTATAATGTGGAGTTCGAAATTATAACATGTTATACAACATGTTATATGTAATAAAGTAATTCACATATATTAAGATCATGGTTCTTTACTAAAACTTTTAAAAGGGCTTCATTCCAGCACTAAATATTTTAATATTGTGTGTAGGCATGAAATTGGGGCCAGAAGCTTTTCGATTTGATGGCGGAGTTGAGGCAATTGCTACCAGACAAAATGAAAAATATTACATCTTAAGACCTGAAGTTATAGAAACTTATATGTATATGTGGCGATTCACTCATGACCCCAAGTACCGGCAGTGGGGTTGGGAAGCTGTAGAGGTGAGACATTTAAATTATTTCTTTGAAGTATCTTATAATTTATATGTTTGCCATTTAAAAGAATTATTTGAATTTAGTGCATAGAGCAATGTACTGTTTAAATGGACTGGAAATTGGTAGGCTGCGATTTATCTCATGCAGATAAAGTCATTTGAGAGATTTCAACCATTTCCATTTTTTATATCTAATGTTTAAGAAAAAAGAAAGAAAATGATACTTAATTTATTATATTTAAAACATAATTAGTCATAGTTAATAAAATTTTCATTTTTAATTTCATTTTTTCTGTTTTTATCTTTAAAATCCAATAAATTCAAAGGAACAAGATAGGAAAAGAAACATTTGATTAATGCAATGGTTTCCCCCTTAGTAGTTGTAATCTGCAGACATTTCAATACTCCAAACAGTTTCAATTATTATTGATATAAGATGTCTAGACACGATGATCAAGAAAACTTTACAGAATCCTTCATATCTAACAGAATTAAAATATCAAATGAATCTTAACCCTTTTCTATTATCAGAAACCTTTTTCATCTTGAAATATAACCAGGATTTAAAACTTCACAGTTCCCCAAGAGAGATTATGGTCACTTTCTTGATCAGCATCAGTGTGGGATTTGGGGCTATAATTTCTTTTTCCAGTTGTTGCAATGGAGTGTGCTATGAAAAAATAGCTCCTCCTAGCCATCTGTCAGTTTGCTCATTCCAATTCCAGTTAGAATTGTACCCATTATTACCTTAATTATTTATGTATGTTTGTATTTTCACTTAAATTAATGCTACAACTTGTTCTACTAAAATGTATGCTTGGTCAAAAATGGAATAAAATTACCAATTTAAAAGGATAAAACAGATTTATTATTTATTTATTTATTATTAAATTTTATATGCCGCCCAATCCCGTAGGACTCCGGGTGGCTTACAAAAAAGAAGAAGAGGAAGAAAAAAATAAGAAAAGGACAGAATTTAAAATCACATTCGTTCTAATCGGGGCTGGACCTCAACAATGAGGTGAACAGCCCCAGGCCTGCCGGAATAGCCAGGTTTTAACAGCTTTCCTGAAGGCAATGAAAGTAGGTAAGGTACGGATCTCTGGGGGTAGCTCATTCCAAAGGGTTGGAGCAGCCACAGAGAAGGCTCTCCTCCGGGGGCCCGCCAGCCGACATTGTCTGGCTGAGGGCATCTGAAGGAGGCCCAATCTGTGGGATCTTACCGGCCGCTGGGAGGTATGTGGCAGTAGGCGGTCTCGCAGGTATGTTGGCCCTAAGCCATGTAGGGCTTTAAAGGTAATAACCAACACCTTATGGCCTCCTTCCCAAAATGTCCAATCACCGGGCATCCCTTAACAACAGGAGGTAAATTGGGCAAGGCTGTTCTCCGTCACCTTTTCAGGGATGCTCTTCTTTACCTGAGCATACCTGGCAGGAGTCCAGGTAATTCAAAAGAATATGGGCTTATTGTATGCTAAAACTCTCTACAAGAATCTGAACTACTAAACAGTGTTTCCCAACCTTGTCAACTTGAAGATGTCCGGACTTCAACTCCCAGAATTCCCCAGCCAGCATTCGCTGGCTGG